TAAAAGTTGGTAAGATAAAAACAAACGAGTCACTTAATTTTCCGAGATTCCCCTATTGAAAGAAAAGGTATCTAAATTTCACAGGTTAATGGTCAATAATACATAACTTCAGGAAAGCAAAGTCACTACGACCAAAAACAATCACGCTACAAAAACAAGGAGCTTTGAATGTCATTAATTACTCCGTCTACTTGTAAGTTCAATTTGCATAATAATAGACACTAATTCCTTTTTAATTCCACTTCCAGGAACAGCATAAAGTGTATTTTCACAACGTGCGAATGAAATTCTAGTGTTATTTTGAACGCCCAATGCATTATTCTTGGTGTCTTTGTCTTTGGGATAGGAGAGTTTAATTTGCTTAACATTCCATACACTCTCACCACAAAGCTTTGACGACGGTGAGAAACATTACTGCTGAATAAACGGCATAGTTCAGAAACATGAACGCTTTATAACTACACCTCAGTTGGCCATGATGCTTGAATGATGTTTATTTCCTGTGTATAATAATGCAATAAACTAGATCAGTATTTTAATCACTTTCAAAACAGTTTTCGCAGTCAAGAACATAAAAACACATTTTTTCCACGGTATTTTTGTAAGTTACAATGTTAATAATACCCTATAAAACATAGAACAATCTTTAAGTAATCTCAAAACAAGATGAAGGGATCACATAGCACGATATCAAACATGCTAGTGATAATTCGAAATATGCTAAACATATGTAATGTTTACCTTATGGGTTAAACACTTTGTGTACTGTAGATCGATGCCAACATTTCGAAGGAACATTCTGCCTTTGTCTTTAGAACGCTGAGGTATTATAGTATAACACAAACGTGTAGTATAATTGAAAATAAACAGAAGATGTTTCCTTCCCTTTTCTGATTCACGAACCGGTAAAAAGAATCTGCTGGAATTTGTAAAGACCTCAGCCCTGTCCATCTCCTATTGTACAGTGCAAATTATGGTGAAAACGTCAAATTATTACTAAGAGCAGGTGCCCAGAACTATTCGTTCTGATTAGGCCTGTAGTAGACAAACTCCTGCAGGTGCCCAAAGAAATGTTAGTAGTAAACTCGTGTATATTTGTCCAATATACTTTCAGTCAGCCCTGCAATAAACTAGCATTTCAGTTTTAAACTCGTTCTCTGGTTAAACCATCAATTGAATATCGACTTACAGTAGTGGGGATGAATCTGTTAATTTCACTTCCGATAAAAGTAAAGGACAAGGAAATAAGAGGGCTTGAGAAAGGTAGCAGATAAATAAGCATGTACGAGGTGCGATCGGAAAGTTTCAAGACTGCGCGTATAAAAACCCGTACACTTATCTCAGGTATTAAATTCATCCATCACCCTCGAAGTAGTTCCCCTGGGAGTGAACACAACGATCCCAGCGCCGCTGC